GCTACATTGGAAAGACGCAACATACTCTACAAAGTTTTGAAGAATTTATGAAGAATTTTGCATCAAATTGAGTAATATCTCTTCCTCTCTTCATCCCTTCTCAAGCTATTGATTTTATAATTATTTTTGCCATTCATTGGTTGCTTGTTAAAGAGTTTGGTTTGGGGCTAGATTTTATTGTTGTGGTTTTTTGTTGTAGTTATGGATGTTGGATTAGAGGTACTTGTTGAGATTGATTGTGTTCCCTTCCCTCCCTCCCTCCCCCTTGATTATCTCTTCAAAGCATTGAGGACAACGCTTCGTCTAAGCTTGGGGGGGGGGGTAGCTTCACACTTTCATGAAGGGGGTTGATTGTTAGTTTGATGCTTGAATTCGTTCATAGTTGTACATTTGGATATTCATGGTCTTCTTTATTTTTCTTTAATATAACTTTAAAAAAATTAAAAAATAAAAAAAATAAAAAAAATTGCCAAGGATGAGACTCAAATGACGATTATATGTTTTGCTTGCTTGACTCTTGAGTGATGAGTAAAAGTTTTTTTAGAAGAGTGTGTGCACGAGTTGGGGTCATTTAGAGGTCTATTAATCTTGATTGCATTGGAGTATATGAAATGAAAGCCAATGAATGCTCAATTGCACGCCTAGTATAAGATATTGTCTAATTTGCTCAAGTAGGATATGTTTGAATAAATTTGTGGTCCCTTGTGCCCTTGATGTGTCTCCTTTCCTCCCCGAAATGAAACTCTATTAGGGAATTGGTTCTACTTGTATCATGTGTAATAAGTGGCGTAATAAGCCACACGTTCTCAATAAAGAAAGAGCCGCTCACAGTTAAAAGAGGCGAGGGCATTGAAAATTGAAAAAAAAAAGAAGAGCATAAAAAAAGGGGAGAACAAAAACTACCCCAAAACTTCTAAAAAAAAAAAAAAAAAATTCTCTTCTTTAGAGGTCAACTCGTGGATGCCTCCCACACCTTGTTTGCATTGTTGTTTCTTATGAAATTCCCGAGTTAGAGTGTAGTTAAGGGGCCTTGGGTGTGCATTTTGGGAGGTGGACTAGCATTTTGTGATTTTATAACCGAAAGAGGGCTTGTTACAACTTTGGAATATCTAGGTGTGCTCTAATGAACTAGTAAAAGGCCAAAGGAAGTATCCTAGTGCAACCTTGTTTAGTTCTCCTCTCTACCCCCAACTCATGTGTACATTTGTATGATTGGTAATTCTTGAAAGTTGTTCACTTGTCTTGCTTGTGTCTCATATCCCGATGAGTTGACTTGGGCGAAAAATTGAAATTGTGTGATTTTTGACGATGTGTTGTGGATTGCGTGAGTTGTGGGGCAAGCTCATTGGAAACCCTCACGAGATAAAAACTCGTCCTCTAGGGCGACTTAGAGGTTTAAATTGCTTCTCACTTGCGCTTAAAGTGATAGTGGTGGCTACCATACGGATTAGTGTGTATATGCATTCTCCTTGTTGCCCCTCCTTGTTTAGATTCTAACACGTTATTTCCCTTCTTTGGTTTGACATTATTGTTTTTCTCGAGGACGAGCAAAAGCTTAGCTTGGGGGGATGTGATAACTTGTTATTTTGTATGATTTTAAAGTGATTTTGAGCCTTAGAATTGTGGGAAATCAATGCTTAGTTCACTAATTACTCTATTTTTATGCATTTTTTGTGTATCATATGCTTCACGGGTTTGCTAGTGTTTTGGTGCATATTTAGGTATAAATATGGCACTTTGAAGCTTTTGGACAAAGAAGAAAAGAAGTTGGAGACAAGAAGAGGAAATAAGGGAGCTATGGAAGAATGAAAGAAGCAAGGAAAAGTGTACAAGAGTGAAATAAGAGCATTTGGAAGGGTTTTGGAAGGATTTTTTCACTAAGGTCAACTTCAAATGACTATAACTTTTTTTTTCTACTCAAGTTTTTGAAGTGATTCAAATTGGAGATTAAATTTCATCTCAAGAGCTATCCAACGAATGCTTACATGCCTTATTCCAATGAGTAATGAAGAAGTTATGACCTTCCGAAATAAAGCTGTTTCGCCAGAAAAAGCTGCACGTCCGTGCCAATTGATGCACGTCCGTGCCAATTCATGCACGTCCGTGTCAATTGATGCACGTCCGTGCAAGGTCAGGCAGTAGCTATTGTTCTCATTTTAACAGGTCTGCACGTCCGTGCAACCTTTGGCACGTCCGTGCCGACCTGTAGACGGGCCGATTCTTGGTTTCTCCGTCCTTTTACTTGGGGGTTATATAATATCCCTTTAGCTTCATTTGTAAGGGGGGGATATTCTTAGTTTATTTTTAGCTTAGGTTAGGGTTTTTAGAGAGAGAAACTCTCATTTTCTAGAGAGAGAAAGTGAGAAAATCTTGTTGAAAGCTTGGAATATGAAGAATTGAAGGAAGGAGACTTGAAGATTTGGATACTCCTTGCAATATCAATGAGAATTTCTTACTCTCTCTCCTATTTTGTTATTCTATTTACTTATTTTTGTATCTTTTCATCCTTAATTACTTGTTTATGTTAGATTAGTGTTTGTTTATGTTCTTAGTTGTTAATTCCTTTAGTTTTGCAATTTATTATGATTTGTGAGTAGTTCTTTTACTTGGGATTGTTGAAATCATTGATGAATTCACAAATACTTGTTTGTATGTGTTGATTTAGCTAATGTGGGATGTTAATTAGTTGAGCTTAAGTGGTTTCATTGTTAGTTCTTGTAAGTGGCCATTGCTAGTACTATTGATCTAAGCTTTCTCAACGAAGGATCGAGAGATGAACTTGAGTTAGCTCCCTTATGCTTGATTGGCCCGAAATTCCATGAGAATAGGAATTTCCGATCAAGGGAATGTTTATGTCATCGTGATTATGCTTTAACACTTGTTTTATGCTTTGTAACCACGAGAGTAGGTTGTATTCATGATTCAAGTAATCCCTCTAGCTTGAGAGAGTAGTTGGGTGCCTTAGATGACTTCCCCTAATTTTATCCCCAAATTGCTATGTCTTGTATGTTAAATTGTAGTTTGTGAATGACTTAATTGGTGGATACCTTCCCGAGATCCTCTTTATTATTGTTTGTAGTTTTTCTTCATAACTCATAACCCAAAAAGACTTGACTTAGCTTATCACAAATCGATATTTGTTAGTGCTCCCCTTAGTCCTTGTGGGATCGACCCTTACTTACCCTTTCTACCCATTAGAGAGACCAAGTTAGGTTTTTATCTTTGGTAGGCTCGACGACGGCTTATCACTCAATTAGTTTTTGTTTGCAATGGATGTAGGAAGTATGTTGTACTTATTTTGGAATGGTTTATAATCCATTATATATATATAAATCTTTGTGTTGTGTGCTGAAAATTTGATCATATAAGAAATGCTTGCAACTAATTCCAAATAATTTCATTTCTTAAAAAGTCATTGCAGAGTTAATTCATAAGTAGCACAAGTTGAACAAAAGACATTACATTCTTCCAAAAGCAAATGTTTTAAAATACATAGTTCTAAAAACAGGATCTAAAACCATCAGAATGCTTCAAGGTTTAGCAGCTGTGCTTGTTTGGGATGAAACCACCTCAAACATGCTCTTATGTTTCTTTGTCCTGGGAATTACCTTTGGTGCAGCTGGACATCTTGGCTTCTTTGCTCTAATTGGTTCAGCATTTAATGTTGGTGGAGCTGATCTAGTTGTCATGCTTGTTCTTGGTGCAACTTTTGTGGTTGGTGTAGCAGAAGATGTGGATGCAGCAGTGGACTTTCTGTTGATTGGTGCAACAGGTTGTACTTGAGCAGGTACATTTGATGCTGAAATAGAAGTTTGTTCAACACCCGTAGATGCAGAGGTTTGAACACCAGTAGTTGTAGAGGTTTGAACACCAGTAGACGCTGAAGTAGATGCAGGCTGAGAATAAACCGTTGAGGGAGCTGGATTCTTTCTTAGCCTACCACCCTTTGGCAAAATAGTAGGTAGCTTAGGGTGATTCTTACACTTGTTTGCATAGTGGCCTTCCTCACCATAGTTGTCAAACCTGTTCCTTCTCTTATCTCTCTTAACAAGCACTTTCTCCTGTGCCTCTCCTTGCTCTTTTACCCTGTTCTTTAGCTTAGGTCTACCAGGTATTTTCCTAAATGGTGGAGGCATTGGTTGAGGTAGATCCACTCTAGGCCATTGATGTTTACCAGGCATTGGGTGGAACGCAGGTGCATAAGTCCTTGCATAGGTGGACACATGATATGCTTCATGCACATAATCCTCCACATTCAATCTTTTCCTATAAATGCATGCATATGCATGATAGCAAGGTATACCTAATAATTCCCATCTATAAAACCCACACATTCTCTCAACCAAATTGACAACATAAGTCTCACTAGTTGTTAGGTGATCTACCTCAAATTCCAACACATTAACCTGTGTAACATTACAGTTGCTAACTTCCTCACTTGCTCTATCAAGCATTTTCATAACAGTTGGCATGATATGACCTTGAAAATTTTTCAACCCATCCCTTTTCAAAGCACACCTTTTCATGACATACCTTCTTATCCATTCTAACATGGTTAAGATAGGCTTTGATCTTGCCTCTCAAATCACACTATTAAAACTCTCACAACAATTGTTCAAAAGCATCCCAGACTTTGACTTAGTATTGAATGCATGCTTAGACCATGTATGTGAAGGTATTTCATTCAAATACTTAAATGCATCACCAGACAATAGTTTAACTGATTCCATCTGACAATAAAAATGCCACTAAAAAGAAACCTGAACACAAAAAAATACATGAACCTTAGACACATACTTTACAATGAAACAGAATATGATCTCTGCATTTGGCACCACCTTGTTGAAAGCATAAAGTAGTCCTTACAACACCATGTGTGTATGAGTAAGTGTTTAGTTTACAAGCAGTGTCTAAAATTGGAAAAAAAAAGAAATTGACCAAACTACCTTCCGTCTATCTAACATGTATGTCACAAGATCTGCATCATCCCTTTGGCCAACCTAAGTCGATGCATCTTTCACACTGTCCAGATCTCTCACCAACATATCTAGGAACCATCCCCAAGTATCAGCATTCTCTACTTCCTCCATTGACCAGGTAATAGGGAAGATATTGTTGTTTCCATCTTTCCTAATTGTAGTCAAGCAAATACCAGAGTATGGACTCCTTAGATGACACCCATCAACACCCAAGATAGGCCTACATCTAGCCAAAAATCCCTCTTTGCAAGGTTGTAAAAATATATAAATCCTTTGAAACAATGGTGGAGGATTTTCAATACCCACAACCTTTACCACAGCTGCAGTACCAGGATTATATATCCTAATAGCCTATGCATAGTCCCAAACTCTCTTGTACTGATCAGCAGGGTCTCCATGTAACATTTGCATTGCTATCATCTTTGCATAATAACACTTATAATACCCAAGCTCAACTCCAGTCACTCTTTTTTCCCTTTTCATGAATTCAGATAGTTTCCAACTTGGTGAATTCCTCCACTCATCCAAGAACCTTTCAGCCAAATATTCTGAAGTCACTTTGTTATTCTGATGTTGCCTACCACAAGCATGCTCTAAATTAAGACTCTTCAACTGAAATGTTTCCTCTCCCTTCACCTTTGCTCCATATATTCTGAACTTACACTTTCTTGTCACTTCACAAGTACATGGAACAAATCTGTATTTTTTCAACTCACATGCACATCTGTTCCTGCAGTATACAATCACCCTTTTTGAACCATTATGCAATAAGTAGTAGTTCTACTAATTGTCAACACCATAGTACCTAATTTCCTTTCTAAAGATATGAATTGATGGGAATTTTTGCCCTAAAACAAACTTAATCTTTCCTTTAAAGTCAACAAATGGATTAAACACAGGGTAGTGGATGCCTTGCTCATCATCAGATTCTTCCAAGCTCCTAATCTTTTCATCTGAGTCATTCAAATCATCATCACTGCCACCAAAATGTTTTCCCCAGCCTCAATTGCTAGGTCTGCCTCACTCAATTGTGGTACTACTACCTCATCTGAACTCCTCACTAATTAAGCCCCCAAACACCTATTCACTATATCAGCTAACCCCTCATCAACATTCTCAGTAAATAGATCATCATCACTACTATCATCATAATCTGCATCACTTAAAATCACATCAGAATCATCCTCATCACTTTCCTCAAGTACTGCATCTCCTTCTGTTGTGATTTTTATAACAGACATATCCCTTCATTTTTTAGATCTTCAAGGTGTTTTAAATCTGATTCTTTTTTTAGGTAAGCTTGGTATGTTTTTTTTTATTAGGATAGTGTTAGGATTGCAGAAGAAGAAAGAGATAGTTCAAAAGGGTTTTTTTTTGCTTTTCTACTTCAGATCTAGGGTTTTCAAGACTATTTGGTGGATCCCTCATATTTGCTGAGTCATTGTTATCCATGAGATTTTCTTGTTCACCACTTTCCACCTCACCCTGCACTCCCATGTCATCAACAATCTCATCTACATTACTAACAATCCCCTCACCCTCAACAATATCAGGTTTGTTAGTATGGGTAATATATAAATTGTCCACCCATCAGGCTTAGGGGATTCCATAAACTCAGGGATATCACCATCACCTTTAATCTCCTTCCTCCCATTGTACAGTGTACACCCTCTCTTCCTGAACCACAATTGACCTATATTTTGCATACTTAAGCTTGTTTTCAATCCAATAAGCAAACTTCATCAACATTAGGATACAAAGCAACACCATAGTAATTGCATGTCCTCCCCTTTTTCATAAGTAGTCTTTTTACTCCTTTTCTTAGTCCCAAACACGCCCATATATTACAACCTAGTGTTAATTGGCCTTTCCATTAATTTATACCAAGGAAAGAATATGTATCCCTACCGTTAAACCTGTTGCAATTAAACAAAGATCCCTAATTTTAAATTGATTTCAACATAAACACTGAACCATTGCCACTTCATATATCAATTAACCCATTCAAATTAAATAATAAATAATACATCCAAATATGATATATATTATACTAACGCAACACAAACCCTAACAAGAAAAACTAGTATAAAATTCGCACCAACCCTTGTCCCAATTCAATTAAAGATAAAATATTATAAGGAAGTCAAATTCGTACCTCGGTTTTTGAATTATATACCATATGATCCCCTCACCACCTCCACGTTTGCGTGTACCAGACCCTTTAACCATTGAAATCGAAGAAAGAAGCAAAGTTTGCCAGTAATTGAAAGAGATGAATAGTGCCAAGCAAATTCGTACTCGAAAATTATAGAACAATGGGAAAACATACCAAATTAGGTTATTTGAGGCTACAGATTCAATGCCAAGTTCAATTCACCATTAATTTTCATCAGAGCTATGCAATTTTGGTCAAATCAAAGTGGTTGAGGGAGTCGTGTTGAAAGGGGCTGAGTTAATAAGGGAGCAGTGATTTTTCGAAAGCAAGTTGGGTAAAATTTGGGGGAAAAAAGGGAGGAAAATAATCATTAAGTGTCACGTGACCAAGTCAACGCCGGAGAAAAATAGTCAAACGTGAGGATCCGGTGGGAGGTAGTCAATTACAACATTTTATATTTTAATAGGTATTTAATTACAACATTTTTTTTATTAAGTAATTTTTCGCAAAATCTGGACTTTAATAGGTAGTTTTTCACAAAAACTCCAACCAAAAAAGCAATTTGTTATGAAATATTTGTGGATATCCATTATCCTCCTTGTATCATTCCGGAATATTATAAATCTAGGGTTTATTGTTATCTAAACAAACCCTAGTTATATTGTATGTATATATATCCCCACTCTATGGAATAATAAACTGATCTATTCTCTCTCCATATCTCATATTTTCTCCTTATTTTATAACATGTTATCAACACCATTACTCTAGATTGATTTCAATATCAATTGAAGTATCATAAATTGATTTAACGAACATCAACCAGAAATTTTTTTTTTCCCAAACCCCTCTGCCGATACCACTGATCTCTGCTGCCACCGTCGGTCAGCCATACGTCGGAGAGGACTCAAGCCCGTAAGCTGCCTGCTGCCGCCATTCACGGCTCCGACCTCCCGTGCTCGGTGCTCCACTGCTCCGTCATCTACCCATAAAATATTCCGTGGCTTTATAGGTGCATTACTGAATTTTTACCTCTTAATTTCTTATATTTTACATACTATTTGTTTTGTTAATTTGTTTATAGATTTATATCTTGAATTCTTGATAATAAATTATGATGTATTGAATTCATATTGATTTGATTAAGTCGAATTAGATACTTTAGTAGCCAGAAATCAAGATCTTAGTTTCTGCGTTTGCTGTAATTCAGGAATAATAATGCAGAAATTAGAAATAAAATTTGATAATAAATGAAACTAATGAAATTCGAGTTTTACTTACCAAATCTGACTTTGCAGAAACTTTCGAATAAATAGAATAAATACAATTGAGAATATTTGGTAAGAGTGAGTAAAATTGATAAGAGAGCTTCAATGAAGGAGCCCCAAACACTACCACATAAATCTTCTTAATCTCTTCTTTCATGAAAAACCCCCTTTTACAAAGTCTTTCTCTCTCTAAAACCTCTTTTAGAGTAATTCTCTCTCTAGTGGGTGGCGTTTGGTCTGTTGTTTTTTTTTTTTTTCTGGACTTCACTCTTCCCAAGCAGAAATAGGTGTGTGATTAGTAATTTGTTTGATAAGAGAATAGTATTATATTAAGATGAATTATTTGTTAGCTTAAATGAATATAAATCTAATGAATATGTTTTTGGGGAAACTCCAAGTTGATAACCTTGATATGCACATGTGGGTGTGTATCAAGAAGCAGTTTTCGTAGTGGAATCAAAATAATACTTCATAAAATGATTGAATTTGCATTCTACTACTGTAATTTGCATTTCTCCTTTCTAAAAACACAAAAAAAAAACTATCTGTCTTAGTTCCTAATTTATAATATTGTTTTACATATCAGTGAATCATGTTAAACCTTGCAAAACTCGAATTTGTTGCTCTTGATATTACTAGAAACAACTATCTGTCTTGGGTGTTAGATGCTGAAATACATTTAGATGCAAAGGGACTTGGTGATACTATTAAAGAAAACAACACTGCAACAAGCCAAGATAAGGCTAAAGCTATGATATTCCTTCGCCATCACCTTCATGAAGGCCTTAAGACTGAGTACTTGACTGTTAAAGACCCACAAGTCCTTTGGAGTAATCTAAAGGAAAGGTATGACCACCAGAAATCTGTGATATTACCAAAAGCTCGTTATAACTGGTTACATTAAGATTACAAGACTTTAAGTCTATGAGTGAATACAAATCAGCCATGTTTAGAATTACATCGCAATTGAAATTATGTGGAGAGAAAATCACGGATGCAGAAATGTTAGAAAAAACATACTCTACTTTTCATGCAAACAATGTTGTTCTGCAGACACAATACTGTGAAAAGAGTTTTACAAAATATTCTGAATTGATATCTTGTCTTCTTGTGGCTAAACAAAATAATGAACTATTAATGAAAAATCATGAATCACGCCCAACTGGCTCTACTCCATTCCCTGAAGCGAATGCGACATCCCATAGTGGGAAAGAGTAAAAGGCTAGAGATCACGCCAGCAGTCGTGGTCGAGGCTGTGGTCGAGGTCATGGTCGCGACCGCGGACGTGGAAATGATCGTGGTCGAGGTGGTCATTTTAGGAACTCATACTCTCACCAGAAGTGGGACAATAAAGATGAGAATAAGAATGAGAAGGATAAAAATGAAAATATATGCTACCGTTGTGGAGGAAAAGGCCATTGGTCTTGTGTGTGTCGCACACCAAAACATCTAGTAGACCTCTATCAACAATCAATCAAACAGAAAGGAAAGAAAGTGGAAACAAATTTGGTGTACGAGGATGGCGAAGGTGATTTTGATTACGGTGGTACAACTCACCTTGAAGCAGTTGATTTCTTTCCTAATCCTGAAGAAAATAATTGAATAAATTATGACCCATTGGCGAATAAACTCTATTAATTAGCTTGCATTTATTATAGATTTTTTTCGTAGTACTATGATTTTATGCTTTATGGGACATTTTTTTTGGACAATTTTATGTTTTTGGATATTTTTATGTTTTCAGATTTTTCATTATTATCATTATCAGTCATTTATTAATTTAAGTTACTTGGTTTAGTGAATCTTATTTTAGAATATTAAATTGAGAATTTTTAGTATAAAGATTCATATAATTGGGCAAGAGGAACGAATATGAGTTTTATAAGAATCATTTTACTTTGCTTGATACATGCATTGATAAAAGAATTTATGGCTTAAAAGGTGCAAGAGATTTAAAGGTAGTTGGATTAATTTAATGCCCCTACATGCAAAGATTAGGGGGAGAGATTATTTATTTCATTATTTTATGTAATCCTTGCACATATATAATAAAAATATATTGATGGTCAGTTTGGTACATACATTAACTTAAATATTAACGTTTTATTTAATAAAAGTTGCCACGTGTTAATTAATATATTTCAAAATGATATGGATATGTACCATGATTATATAAAAGACTCTAGATGAGTATGAAATGTCCAACAAGATTAACATGTATCAAGATTATAGTTAAAACTCTAGCAGAATATGAGTAATTATTAGATAAAATATTAGTCGATTGTCTTACCAATTGTATAAAGAAACACATGTTGGTGTTCTAATATCACATCATACTCATGGCCATGCATAAAGTAAGTTTAATAAAGTGATCACTAGTGTTGGAAAACTGACTAGAGTTCAATTTCAGAAATGTGATTGGATGTGATAATTAAATTAGGCCATTCGGGTTCAATAAATACCCGTTATGGAAACTTGAAGTTTCATTTGATAATGTGCTGACACTCTCTCAATGTTAGATATATGAAATGAATTTAATGGCAAGACATAACATTGAGATTGAGCTATAATATGTGTTGATGAAAATCTCAAGAGTTAATAGGTTTTGATTTTCATATATACGAAAGAGCAATAGGTGATCGGAAGTTCACCAGAATAACTTATATATTATTTTCCAGTATTAGGTGACCAGAAGCTCACCAAATACACTATTTAAGTCTTCAAAGATCTAGAAGATCACCACCTAGTAGAATTACAAGCAAGTGATTTACGCTTGTATGCCAATTCTTTTGATTGGGGCTATTATATGTCAGCACAT